TTATGCATTTGTTGACTGCTTCTTGTATGTGCCCTGACTAGGGATTGAACCTGTAATCTTGGTGTACCAGGATATTCTAACCAAGTGAGATACCTAGCCAGGGCCAAAACTGATTGTTCTTAAAGAAATAAAGAGCACTGTGGCAAATAAAACTTAGGGAAAAGAGTTCACTTACATTGTGAGCAGAAATGTGAATTGTTAATATCTATTATGATTACAAACATAAATACCTTTTAATCAATAATTTTGCTCTTAGGAATCCAGCGCATAGAAATGAAGGCAATAGTATGGAAGGCTATATGTATAAAGAAGTCTATTAAAATTACGGGAAGGCTGTGTGGGTTGTCCAGAAAAGAGTCAACATAGCAGGCCTGAGACTGCTATCCCTAGGCCTGCTGGCACAAGGCGGGGTTGGCCCTTGGCTGGTGTCTGTGACCTTGGCTGGTAAACAGTTTCCCACACTGATATCAAACTTTCCCTAAATAACAGTGGTTTAATGTGCTTATACAAACCATGTGGTTTATGCTGAATACCTGAATTCTCTGGGAGTCTGGAATTGTGGTATATGCCAGGCAGACGGTGCCTACACAACCAGCCTCCACTAAAACTGGGCACTGAGGCTCCAATGAGCTTCCTGGTAGATAACACCTGGCACAGGTCACAGCCCACTGCTGGAGGGATTCAGCACGTCCTATGCGACCCCACTGGGAGAGGACTTTTGGAAGCTGTGCCTGGTTTCCTCTGGACCTCACCCCATGTGCCTGTTCCCTTTGCTGATTTTGCTTTGCATCCTTTTGGTGATGAATTTTACTCATGAGTACAACTATATACTGAGTCCTGGGAGTCCTTTTAGTGAATCAATGAAAGTGGGAGTGGTCCTGGGGACCCTTGACACAGGAGGTAGGAGGTGTGGGCAGAGAAGGTAAATGTGGTAAAAAGAGTAATAAATATTGTAGAAAAATGTCTAAAAAAATCATCAGATGAACTATGACCTCATTTATATTATAGAATCTACTAGGATATATGACCAGAAAGACATTGCAAAGGATGGTGACCATGATGTTCACAGTGTTACCCTGGGATGGTGGGATTTTAAGTGATTTCCTACAGTTTCCCTGACGCTTTCCTATATGGTTTGAACTTGTTTTTACAATGAGCACAGTTGAATTATATACTTAGAAAAAAGATAAAGCTATTTTTTCTTGAAAAAGGAAATAAAAACTGATTGCTGGAGATTGTTTAAAAATAGCATCCTTGATGCTGTCTCTCTTAACTTTCCATTAAATTCTTACAAAAACAGAGAAAAAAATGAAAACATCACGTGGAAAGTTAGGTGACTAAACTGATGGCCTATTCCCAGAAGCTGAAGAAATTTCCACAAATTTCATGGCTCATAGAGTTGTTTAAAGAACACAATCAGTAGATCGCATCTGTCCAACCCTAGAGTGGTCTGCCCGAGGGTGGGAGGAAGATCCCTGCCTCCTACTGCGCTGCCTTCTGGTCGAGAAAGGCCAGCTTTGCATCACAGAGACTAGAGAGCTCTCCCTCCACGCACAGGGGGAGGGGGATGGCAGCCATCCCTTTTCTTTTAGAATCTATTCTCCAGGTAGAAATTCTAATTTCTCACCAGAAAGGAAGTAGAGGTGCTGAGAGGGGACTGAGAAAGGAAGAGCTCCTTTTTAGTAGGTGTGCACACCTGGAATTACAATTTTTTTAAAGTTTTTTTTCCTTTTAATTGATTTAATTTTTTTTTTTTTTACAATAAGCTTTAAAAATTTTATTTTTATTTTTATTGTTCAAAATATTACAGATGTCCCCTTTTCTCCCCATTGACCCCTCCCACACCCTCCCAACCCTCAGTCCCTCGCCACACTATTGTCTGTGTCCTTCGTTTATGCATATAGGCATATACATTCTTTGGTTAATCTCTCCCCCCACNCTGCCCCAGTCCCTCACCACACTATTGTCTGTGTCCTTGGGTTGTGCATATATGCATATAAATTCTTTGGTTAATCTCTCTCCACTCATCCACCCACCCACCCCCACCTTCCCCCTGAGATTCATCAGTCTGATTCATGCTTCCATGTCATTGAATCTATTCTGTTCATCAGTTTATTAAGTTCTCTAGATTCCACATATAAGCGAGACCATGTGATGTTTGTCTTTGTCTGCCTGGCTTATTTCGCTTAGCATAATATTCTCCAGGTCCACCCATACTGCCCCAAAGGGCACTCTTTTAATTGATTTTAGAGAGAGGAAGTGAGAGAGAGAGAGAGAAACATCAATGTGAGAGAGAAACATTGATCAGTTACCTTCTGCAAGCACCCTAACAGGGATCGAACCCACAACCCAGGCATGTACCTTGACAGGGAATCCAATCCACCACCTTTTGGAGTGCGGGATGACACTCCGACCAACTGAGCCACCCTCGCAGGGCTGGAATTGAGATTTTTATGTAAGGCTGGGCCATGGGGTGGGAGGGAGAGGAGTGGGTCCTGTTTATGGCTGGCAGAACTGCAATGTCTAAAGTCTGTGGGACGCTGAAAACTGTGAAAGAAGCACAAAAACTGCCCCTGTAGGTTTACCAGCAACCACGCGGACAGAGAGTGAGTTCAGGAGAGGGCGGCTCTTCAGTATATACCCCATACTGGGAAAGTTTCAAGAGTGAAAGGGGTACTACCAAGAGTTATAACAGACAACAGTCATAAAGTAGGATTTTCCCAAGCAAACTGAGAGGTATGGTCACGCTGGTTCAGGGCCATGCCCTAAATTGAGTCAATTTCTTAGACACGTATAAAGAAGAGGAAGTATCAGGTCTGCAAAACAACAAAAGCATCCCTGGAAAGTACTGAAGAACAGGTGTATAAATACAATGTACTAGGGCAGACCGAAAACAGAGGTCCAAACCTGCCAGCTTACTAGCAGTAAATTGAGAAAGAAAACAGAACTGAGTAAAAGCAATATAAAAAAACACACCAATTAATAGAAGGAAACTGTTAGGATGCAACAGAATTTAGTGCTTCACTCCGAGTTCTTCTAAATTCTAGGCAGAATAAATGACAGAGCCCAAGGAACATCTTGGCAATCGGGAAGAGAAGACATCCATTATTTGCACACGATAGAGTCATTTACCCAGGAAAACTAACAGAATCAATAAATATAAACCAAGAAAGTTTTCATCAGGATACAGGTCTACCGACACAAGCCAATACTACTTCTCTGTCTCAACAAACACTGCCATGTAGAAAATATAAGAAAACATTCACAGCGGTGACAAAAACAATAAAATATCTAGGAATTAACCATGAATTCATAAGGCATCTCTAAGTCTCAAGGTGAAAGAAGTGGTTCAGATAAGCCTATTCTAGACTCTTAAGATGATTTATTATTGTCAAAAATGTTAATCCTTTCAAATTAATCTATGCATTCAATGCAGTCCTAAGGAAAAGTATTGTTGAATTCAACGAGCACAGTAAACGCACATGAAAATTTATACTGCAGAATAAAGGTCTACATACAGGTTAATCAAAATTAATAAAGAAGAGCAGAGAAGAGGGACTCATCCTACCACATACTACGACATACTACAATAAAAACTGTGTGGCATTAGTGCAAAAACAGCCAACATAAAACCAGAACAGAACAGAGCATTCAGAAACAAAATAGATATATTTAATATGTAACAACAAAAATCAGTGTGTAAAGGACAGGCTGTTTAACAGATGATGTTGAGAAAACCTGCTCATCATATAGAAGAAAACGAAACTGGGTTTCTATCTAAAACCACATACACAGGTAGATTATAAATGGATTACAGACCTAAATGTAAAAGGTAAAGGTATATAGTTCATAAGAGAAAATATAGGATAGTATCTTTGTCACCTAGAGACGGGGAAAGCCCTCTTAAACAAAACTCCAAAGCACAATATAAGACGAAATACTGAAGAATCTGGTTATGTCAAAATTAAGGATTCTCTTCAACAAAGCACATTATAAAGTTCCCTAGAACGCATGCAGAATAGGAGAATATATTTATAATACCTAAAGTGAATATGAAACTTTATGTTTAAAATAGTCAAGGGATTCCTGATAACCAACATGAAAATGATACCAACTGTGGTAGAAAAATGGACAAAGGACATGAATGAGCGGTTTACAGGGAAACAAAAACGCAAACAAGTATTCAATGGGACGCTCAAATTCAACGGTAATCAGAGAAATACAAAAGTACGAGATATCGTTATACCTGCCAGTCTGGTAAAACGTCCAGGCAGCTGGATGCTGCTGTAGGGATGTGGGCACAGAGCGACCCCCTGGACAGCTGGCGGTGGCGCAGACTGGCACAGTCATTCGGAAGAGAAGTGTGGCACTCCTTCCACCAACGCGTCTGCATCTCCCCAATGACCCACATGTCCCAGGGACATTCTCACAGAGGCACATGGTTTCATCTAATATTTCACATGAAGACGGTTCATGTGCTAGGTGTGAAAACCGGTGTAAGGAAATAAAAGAAATGCCTGAGTGAGTGAAGGCAACGAGAAGCCCTGGCCGGGGCGACAGGGACCCGCAGCGTGACGTCCACATTCCGCACCCCGGTCAGCGCAGGCGGTGCGTCACAAGGGCGGGGGAGGCTGCTTCAAACATGTTGGCAAAACTTCTGAATCACAAGATAAAAAAAAAGTCCTCCCCGCAGTGACGCCGAGGGAAACAACTCAGTTACTGCAACAGACAAAAGCGGGCTGCTTCTGACAGCTCTCCAACTTTAAATGCCAGGAGATGAAACGTCCTCAGTGTTTGGAGGGTAAAATAATTTTGAGCTCAGGCAGCCAAATATGTTTTCCATGTGTAAAAAACATTCTAGGATACGCGAAGATACAAAAAACAAACAAACAAAAAAATCGATACCATCACGAACACTTCTTGAATGGAAGAAAGTGTTCAATGAACTTTTCAGAACACAGCGGCCAGGCCTGCCCCGGACCTGCAGACCATGGAATTACCTTTTGCAGAAACAGGACGATCCTCACGAGCATCTGCGCGCGGAGGTCTTCCAGGGTGAAGAGCGTGCGGGGCGTCCGGATGAAGATTTTGGTCTTCCCGTAAGCCACGTCGTCCTGAAAGCCGCACTGCTCGATCAGCTTCCTGACGGCCTCTTTGTCCGAAGGGAGGTCGTGGTTGGGCCAGGTGAATTCTGAGATCATCTTGTACCTGGGCGAAAAACAACAGGGCGAGATGAAGGGAGAACCACCATGTGGTCTCGAGGCATGCAGAAAAACACCATTCCGTAAACTTCCAGATGCTTCCTAGAAAGAAAAAGACCACCTCTTAGCAAACTAGGAATAGAAATGAATGTCATGGCCTGATAAGAGATGTGGGGAAAAACCTTCAATAAGATACAACACTCCTTCATGACAACGACCCTTACTGAAGTCGGGATGGAAGGGCACTTCCTTAATTTAATAAAGGCTCTTTACCAAAAGCTTAGAGCAAGAATCATTCATAAAGAGGCAACCTTGCGGGCTGTGGGCTCAGTCCTCGGTAGGGTGCATGCAGGAGGTAGCCGATCTGATGTTCCATTCTCACATCGACATTTCTCTCTCTCTCTCCCGTCTCTTTCTAAAAAAAAAAAAATCAATTAAAAAAAAAAGGAGGCAACCTTAGAAGCTTTCTCTCTACAAACAGAAACAAGACCAGGTTGCCTCTATCACCAGTTTTCTCGCCAGCATAGTGAGCCAGATAAATGAACAGGTAAGTGACTGGAGAAAGAATTAAGCTAACATTACTTATGCACAATATACTCACTTCAAAGGAAATCAAGCAGATAAACTATTATCACTGAAAGACAACTAAGAGTATTCTGCATATAAGATGAATCCACAAAAGTCAACTGCATTTCTATGTACAAGCAGCCAACAGTTCCTGGCCACGTGGGCCTCTCACGGGGCAGTTCCCTACACACCGGCTTCACGAGAGTGTGAGTGTGAGCAAGACAGAAGTCAGAGAGTCCCAGCCCTTTGCAACCGAATCTCACAAGCGACATCCCATCACTTTCGCGGTATTCTACTTTGCTAGAAGCAAATCACCAGGCCCAGGCCAGCCTTGCAGGAAGGGGGTTACTCTGGGTGAACTCCAGGAGGTGGGGATCTTGGGACCAGTTTACAAGGCTGCCTACCACAGCGCTCCCCCCGACCCAGGTGCAAACTTGTTCAATAGAGGGAGTCAAATTTAATAACGTTCATACACTGCACCTGAATTTTAGTCATAGTGAGAAAGGCTTTGCCCACATTCCAGTTACAGAGTAACTTACCCGTGTGCTCTTCTAGTACATGTGTGTTTTCATTTTTTACATCTAGATCTTGAAGTTTATTTTGGTACAGGGAATGAAAATTGTATCCCTATTTTGACAAAAGGCTATTCCCAACACTACTTACTAAAAAGTCTGATTCTTTCCCCCCTCCCTGTTATTAAGTCATTTTTATCCTATACTGTTTCATATGTGCTCAGTTCATTTCTAGGCTTCACTGCACTGTCTGTCTGTGCATCAGTACCACATGGTTTTAATTATAGATGTTATAAGTATATTTTAATGTCTTTTCTTTTTTTATAGGCCTCTCTAGCTATTCCTGCATGTCTGTCTTTCCATGTAAACTTCAGAATCAATTTACATAGTTCCAGAAAAACAATCACAAAACAACAAACAAATCAGGATGGCACCTCTACTAGGTTCCCGCGTTAAAGTCATTAAATTTATCTCTGATGCTGAGTTGTCCAATCCAGGAACAAGAGCTACCTTTCTATTTTTCAAGCCTATTTTTTGTGCCTTTAGGAGTCTAAGTTTTACACATTTCTGGTTAAGATAATATACATCTAAGTGGCATCCAATCCCTTTGGACACCCCTCTCTTTCCCTAGTTCCATACAGCTCCCATGACAGCAAGCTCTCCCTGGCTTCCTTCGGTCTCTCTCAATATTTTCCTCTCAATCTCATTTTCTGGCTACTGCTCCTCTATTACTGGGCCCAAATGTTGGAGCTTTCCAGGGCTCCTATCAGGCCGTCTTTTCTCTATGTACACCCCCCTCCCACATCACCTCAGATATTCTATCCACTGTACTTTTCAATTTGTGAATTTATTATCCCAAGCCCAGCTCTCAGTTCTGAGCTTCCGACTCATATATCCAAAGCCTACATGGATCTTGAAGGCATCTCAAACTTCTCTTTCAATCTTTCTAGCCTTAGTGCCCTCAGTTACTAAAGGCAGAATCCTGGGACTCACGCTGATCCCTTCTCCTCTCATTCCTTCCAATCCATCAAGACCTACTGGCTCTACCTCCACAACACATTTAAAATTCAATATTCTCATCTTTACTGCCGCAATCCTAACCCGAGCCACCATCAAGTTGACTACAATAGAATCCTTTCTGCCTGCTCAGCAGCCGTTGTTTTCTAAAAATCCTGACATTTTAATCTTTTTTTTAAAGACTGATTTTTAGAGAGAGAAGAAAACGGGGGGAGGAAAGAAACATCTATTGGTTGCCTCCTGAATGCATCCTGACTGGGGATCAGACCAGCAACCTAGGTGTGTGCCCTGACCGGGAACTGAACCGGCACCCTTTGGGTGCACGAGGCAATGTCCAACCCACAGAGCTGCACCGGCCAGGGCTCATTTTTATGTTTCACGGCCCTTGCGCTTTATCACCACACTCCAACCACACAGGCCTCCTTTAGGGCCCTGAAATGCATGTTTCCTCTTTCTTGCTTTAGAGCCTTCGCATATACTGTTCCCACTGCCTGGAATGCTTTTTAATTTATTCCCTGAAAAGCTGGTTCCTTCCCACCCGTTGGTCATACCTCCCTCCTTCACCGACCGTCAATCCTCGCACCCATGACTCTTTCCCAAGGCCGCCGGCTGAGCTCTGTCCTTACCCCACTCCTTGTACTGATTTGTGGGCTGATCTGTGGGCACCATGAAGGCAGGGACTTTGTTTGGTTCCCCACTCTATATCACGTTGTCTGCCATACGACGAGGACACAGATTTGTTGAGTGAAAGAAAAACACACACACACAAAAACCACAGCAGGAAATTCATTTAAAAGCCGACTCGCTTGCCAGGCAGGGACAGAGGCAGAAACCAAACGAAAGAGCTCTGCTGTGGATAGAGAGGTGGCATCACGCATCATTATGCGAGAAAGGAAACAGAACCAGAACCCTCCCAAATTCATTATGAAACGAGAGCAGGGGCCAACCCCTGGGCCACCGCCCGGGGAGTCGGGGCGCTGCAGGAGCTGGGAGAGCCCGGGGCCGCCGCCCAGCGAGCGCCAGGGCCCAGGCTTCCCCCGGCAGAGCAGCCTCCCGACCGTGCCAACTGAGAAGCGGGCGCGTCTGCTTTCAGACAACTAGCTATACCCCTGAGGAAGACGTTAGCAGCTTTCAAGGCTCTCAGTACAGTTTGAAACCCTTCTCTCTCTTATCAAGGAAAGAGTGAAAATAAAGAAAGGTGTCAAGTAAAAATTTAGGTTCCAAACTAGCTTACACAAAACATCTGCAGAACCTCGAGCCCCACGAGGAGGTCTGTCCTTAAAACGGCCACCCTGGCTTACTCCGGGGTCCTCCTATCTGCCTCGTATCATATTTAGGGGGGACTCACGTTTTCAAGGTTCACTGAGAATCCCCTTTTGATCCCACAGTGTGGCCGTGCATTTATTTGGTTTTAAATATACATATTTTATATTATTTGGGGATGTTCTGGAGTGGGAATGGGAGATTTAAGCTTGCACCACTGAGACCACCATATTTAAAATTCACAGGTTCTTTTTAATCTGTCCACTGCTCTCGGATCTACAATAATCCCTTGTTCAAAGCACTATCATTAAGCTCTTTCTCCCGGACCCCGCAGTAGCATCCCTGAGCGTCTCACTTTCTATTCACACAGCAGCCAGAGTGATCTTTTAAAGCGTCCAGAAGACTGAACCACTCTCTGCTTAAAACTCACCCATGGTTTCCCACTACCTTTAGCCCAAACCAAAACTGTTTAGTCTGGATTATAAAGTTCAACATGATCTGGTGTCTCTGTTCCTCTCTCTGATCTCATCTCACACCACGGCCCTGTCACTCAGCATCCTCTGACCACAGGGAATACATTTTATATTTGGCCCCTAAAATGCCACACTTATCACTGCAACAGAGCCTTTCCCCGCTGTACCCACTGCCCCGCGGGCTCTCTCCTCTGCTCTTTGTGTGGCTGGTTACTTCCTGTCCTTATTATCTCCTTAGAGACTCTTCTGACCATCCACTATCTTAAGTATTTATTTATTCATACTTGTGTGGAATCTCTAGAGTAGATTGAACAGGAAAAGGTCAATAAATATTTTAAAATCAATGCACAGATGGAATTTAAGACATTATTTTTATGAGTCCCCAGTGGTCCACTATCATTACCTTTACCAACAATAAATAGCAATAGCAATCATATCTTACATTAATTGAGTGATTAATATATACTACGTACTATTCTAAGTGCTTTTTGTATATTATCTCATTTACTCCTCTAGCAACCCCACAAAGTAGATACTATTATTACCTCCATTTTACATATGAGCAAACTGAGGCGTGAAAAGGTTATATGATTTGCCCAAGGTCACGAAGCTATGAAATGGCAAAGCCAGGATTCAAACCAGGTAGGCTAATTTCAGGACCTTCATGATGAACTATTTAATACTTTGTGATTATTATATAGTTGACCCTTGAAAACATGGGTTTGGATTGTGCTGGTCCACATACATGCAGATTTTTTTCAATAAATACTGTAAACACATTTTCTCTTCCTCATGGCTTTCTTAACATTTCCTTTCCTTTAGCTTACTCTATTGTAAGAACAAAGTATATAATGCATATAACGTACTAAACATGTGTTAATCAGCTGTTCACGGTACCGGTAAGGCTTCTGGTGAACAGCAGGCTATCAGTCAAGGTCTGGGGAGTCAAATGTTATACAAGAATTTTCAACTGCGTGGGGAGCTGGCACCCCTAACCCCTGTGTGGTTCAAGGGTCAAGTGTAATTATTAATGTCAGTAATCATAAGCAGCATTAACTGAACATCGATAATGTACCAGGCACCTGGGCTTTTTACTTAGGTTTTTCAGTCCTCACAACAGCAGCCTTATGAAGTAGGTGTTACGATACTCATTTTACAGATGCAGAAACAGAATCAAAGAAGTTAAATTTCTGGCCCAAGATCATGCAGCACATGAGTGGCATAGCCAAGGATCCCAACCCGTGTGTGACGCCAAATCCTTGTTCTTTCTACTGTGCTACGATGCCCACACTTCTTTACAAAGGAAAAACACACTTTTCCCCCATGGTCCATAAACCATGAACTCGAGAGGACGCCCTCTGCCGAGTCTGGGCAAGTTTTCGCACCTGCAGTTCCCTCAGCTCTGCTGTTCACTCGCCAGGTACGCAGACGCGCATGCACTGTTGTAGGTGGGGAGGTCACAGATTCTCAGTGTACTATCAGGTTTCTTTGCCGAGTCTATTCTCACCTGTGCAGAAACTTCTCGTACGTCTGGCGGAAGGCAAATCCTGCCCGTCGCACCCTCACGTTTTCCAATAGTCCCAGATATTCAACCTGATGCCGGCAGCGTTCGTCATCAAATATCTGCGGGGACTTCTTGTCATTGGGTTTGATGCAACGAACGTAATACGGTTCCTAAAGGAATAAGTCAGCAAGCGATTAAGTTTCAGAAAAATCCCAGACTAAGGACACTCACGTAATTAGCGTTAACGGTGTCAAATTAAAGCTCTGGAGCCTCTCATTTCTCCGGCACAGGCCTGTGAATAAAGTAGTTACTCTTCCGCTCCCTTCAACCCAAGGTTGGAAGTGCTCATGCATTTACCTAAAATTTTGTTTTTATTATATTTTAGGGTTCATCAGAAGTAGCAGCACGGGGATAAAACTAGGGAATAAATAATTGAGATATGCAAACACTGAGTTTTTGTGTATTTACGGAAACATGGTTAGAAAGTAACAGGAGGGGTAAGAGAACGAGGCAGGAGCTGTGATGGAGACGGGCTACAGTGAGGATGCAAATATTAAGCACAGCCTGGTACGTAGTAAATGCTCCGTAAGTGTCAGCCAATGTTGTTACCACATTAGCCTGTGCTTTTGAAAAAGAGAGTAAAATTTATGAGCTTATTTGATACTTAAAATTTATGAGTATATAAGGAGACAAGTTACAAAACCACCTGCAGGCATCAGTGACTCAAGAAAGAGCTTAGCAAAAAGTCCTTCTTTCTGTGCCAACGCCACTTTGTACCATGCATTAGATCGTAACTCCTTTCAAGCATAAAACTGTGCTTGGCATAGATCCTGGCACAAGATACCAAATGATCACTGGATGAATCAATGGGGTCAAATGTACCCTACTTATCGGTGTGAAGTTACTTCCCCTCCTCTGAATCTATTCTGTCAGACGCACACACGCATTTTAATTAAGTGATGAGTCCTCTGCAGTTAAATTGGGTAGTTTTTGAGCTGCAGGGAGGGCTGGAGGTAACAAGGATCAGCAAATAATTAAGAAGTAGGAGAGAGTTGAAGAATGTGAATCTACTTGCATTTTGAACAGAGTAAGTGTTCAACATCTAAAGAGGAAGCCCCACGTATAGACGGCTGCCGCCTTCCGCGATGAAGAAGGCCATTTGCCCGAGCCCCGCTGTCCTCGTCTCCTCTCGCTGCAGTAGCAGGTCATCACAAATGCCGTGGATCAAAACAACACGAATTTCTTTCTCCTACAGTTCCGGGGGTCAGCAGTTGGAAATGGGAGTTTGCTGGGCAGGAAATCAAAGTGTCAGCAGGGCTGCTATTTTCTGGAACCCCTCTTCTTATCTTTTTCAGCGTCCGGAGGCTGCCCGCATTCCTTGGCTTGCGGCCTCCTTCCAGCTTCGAAGCCAGCAATGGGCAATCGAGTCTTTCTCATGACGCCACCTCTCTGGTCTGCCTCTTCTGCCTCCCTCCTTCCCTTTGAAGGACTCGTGTTGACACTGGGCCCGCCGGGATAACGCGGGGTTTACTGTAAGGTCATCGGGCTGGCAACCGTAACATCTCCTGCCACGTAACACGGCATGGGCGCAGGCTGTGGGCAGGCTCCGGGCTTCGCGTCCAGGACCCGGCTCCGCATTACTGCATTCAAAGCTACTTCCTTCCACAAGGCGCCACAGGGCGAAAGGCAGCTTTAGGGCTCTGGGTGGGTTTCCCGTCATTCAGTTAACTTCTGCCTCCACACAGGCCCTGGCCTGCCTATTTCTTGCTTTCTTGTTGGTTCATGGCTGCATTCGAGAAGTTGGCTTGTATGACTTACCTAACATTTTATTGTTTTCAGTTGGTTTTAGTGGGCAGGTTGCTTTAGTGGGCAGCATTACTCGTACGTATTTTTAAGATCTTTATGTCTCTGTTCCCAGGTGAAATGGATCTCTAATTTTATTTTCTAATATTGGCCTGTACTGAGGCAATATTAATCTCAGAAAATGAGTCAGGTAGTGGCTTCTCTTCTTCCCATCCTCCAACACAGTGTATATACAACAGGGATTGCTGGCTCCTTAAAGGGTCTGTAGAACTTCTCTGTGAAACCATCTGGGCCTGATGTTCTCGGCAGAGTTGGGGGAAGGCAGACTTCTGGTTAGTGATTCAGGATCTTTAAGGTTACTGATTTATCCAGGTTTTCTCTATTTCTTCTTGAGTTAATTTTGGTAACATCGTTTTCTAGAAAACTAATTTTATAAATTCATTGGCATACAGTCGTTCATGATATTCTGATGCGTTTTGAAATCTCTATAGTATATAAAGTTGTATTCTTTTCTCATTCATGACATTTTTTTTTTTTTCTTTTAAAAATCAGTTTTATTCAAGGTTTGTCTATTTGGTCAAATTTTATATTGCTATTAAGATAAGATTATTTTCTGACTTCTTTAGATTTTCTTTGGAGTTCCTTTTCTGGCTTCTTGAGAACTTAACTCATTGACTTTCAATCTTCCTTGCTTTTTATACAGGCCTAACAAGTGGACCACCTCACCAGTTTCCTACAAATTTTGACAAATTCTTTGTCATGAAGTTCCAGATATTTTGTAATTTCCACTGGGATTTCCTCTTCAACTGAGTTATTTAAGAGATCTTTTTTTTTTTTTTTTAAGTTCCTAAGCACATTAAATTTTTTTAAAATGCTGAGTTTTATTTTACTTGCTGTGAGGCTGAAGAGTGCATCCATACATACATCTCTTAAAATAGTTAAGACTTCCTTTGTGATTTAGCATGTGGTCAATTCTTGTAAATGTTCCATGTATACTAGAAAGGAATATGTATTTCCTATGCCCTGGGTACAGAGTTCTTTTGATCTATTAGATAAAAGTTTAAATCTGGTTTTCAAAGCTTCTGAATTCTTTTTTTATTTTAGAAATTTATTATTATTATTGATTTTGAGAGAGAAGAAGGGAGGGAGGAAGGGAGGGAGAAACATCGATTTGTTCCACTTATTTATGTATTCATTGGTTGATTCTTGTATGTGCCCTGACCAGGGATTGAACCCGCAACCTTGGTGTATCGGGATAATGCTCTAACCAACTGAGCTCCCTGGCTAGGGCAAAGCTTCTGCATTCTTAATAAGGTTTTTGTCTGCTTGATCTATCAGTTTCTGGTAGATTTGGTTTAAAATCTCCCACTAAGACTGTGTGCCTGTCAAATTTTTCCTTCAAAAATGTTCAGGTTCTTCTGCTTCACAGAGTTCATGTATCACCATGGCTATGTTAGTAGGTACCTAAGTCAAAATGGCTTTATTGTCGTGGGTATTTTCATTTTATTATTATTAGTCTGTTTATCTGTGTTAATACTTTTTTCCCCCTCAAATTCTATGTGCTCTCACATTAATATTGCTTTTAACCAGTTTTTTTTTTTTTTAAAGGGGCAGTGGCCTGCTACGTCTGTATCTACTTTGTTTGCAATCTTCCTGTAGAGTGTTAATTAGGTATCTCCTACGGGTGGACTTTCCACCTATCTAGTCTGTTAAGTCTATTCACACTTATGGCCAGTACCAATTATTTAGATTTATTTCTATCACATTATTTAGTATTTTCTAAATGTAATCAGCATTATTTCCTGTGTTTCTGCCCCGCCCATCTTCCTGCCTTGTGCTGTTTATGTACTTTTGCTTATCCGAGCTCTCTCCCTCATCCCCCCACCTCCATGAACATCCGGACTGGAAGCTGTGGCAAAGACTGTCAGGCTAGCTGCCTACCTCTTATCCAGTCTGCTTTGCCTACTTTGAAACAGAATAGTTATTTCTAGCTGGGTGTACTGCCGACTGGAATCAAAATGCACTTCCCAGCTTCCCTGGCAACTAGGCAGAGCAAACGAGATGCAGCTGAAGGGCTGTGTGAGCCTTTGCGGGCCATCAGGCAGCTCCGGGTGCCATCCTGGACCATCAGGGAGCCCCGGGTGCCATCCTGGACCATCAGGGAGCTCTGGGTGCCATCCCGGGCCATCAGGGAGTTCTGGGTGCCACCCTGGACCATCAGGGAGCTCTGGGTGCCACCCTGGACCATCAGGGAGCTCTGGGTGCCATCCCGGGCCATCAGGGAGTTCTGGGTGCCACCCTGGACCATCAGGGAGCTCTGGGTGCCACCCTGGACCATCAGGGAGCTCTGGGTGCCATCCCGGGCCATCAGGGAGTTCTGGGTGCCACCCTGGACCATCAGGGAGCTCTGGGTGCCACCCTGGACCATCAGGGAGCTCTGGGTGCCACCCTGGACCAGGAGAATGCATGAAAGCACGAGGATGGTAGAGCCGAAGGACGGAGGAACCTGGGACCCTAACAACCTTAGAGCTGCTGTACTAGTCCTGAGATACCTCGGCCTGTACCTCATTTATAGGACAGAGAAACACATGTCCCTCAAGCTTATAAGCTACTAACTGGGGTCTCTTTTATTAGCAGCTGAATGCAACTCCTGACACAGAAACTATAGGCGTTCTAGTATTTTTATTTTTAAAAACTGCACATTTAACTACCAATTTTAGAAAAGCGATTCTTTTCTAGTCAAGTACATAAATCTAACATATTTTATAAAATCCTGTGCTCAACTCTAGTTCCTGTGTCACATGCCTTCCCGTCAGCTCGCCTTCCTTCTTGCCGGGTGAGGCAGGTAGAAGCTGACACGCGGAGAGAAGCCGAGAGACAAGAGGGAGGGGTCCAGTGGATCCCAGTCTTTGGCTCTGGTGTCCCCATTACCCCTCCCGTTCTGGAGATCTGATTATACAAACCAACAAATTGTGCTTATTTGTTGCCACTTGAGACCAAAGAATCCTGATAAAAAAAAAAATAGAAAACTACGGAACAGACATGTTCTCGTGGCATTTGCCTAATTCATCCAGAAATGGTACAGATTTAAACTCTTACAGAGGAAGTTTATTTTATTTATTTATTTTTTTAAAAAGATAACGAAGAAGAAAGTACACAGGAAAAGCACCAGAAGAGAAAGATTAAAAACGAAGGAACTAAAAATAATGGGTCCCAGAATGCTGCCTAATTTATCAAAGTTGTCAGCAGCAGCAGTTAAGAGAAAAAATATGTTCTTTAAGAAAAAACAGACTAAAGTTATCAAACAGTATTAGATCTCACAGGAGTAATAAAAAGCAGACATAACTGTCAGTAACATATCTTCTTATTTCAACTATTTAAAGCAACCTGAGGATAATACTTTAAGTATCAAACCTCCTCTTAAAACTCTACCTGGTCATTCTGTATTCATATAGGATACACAGATGGTGTATTACAGTTTAATTCAAGATTTTAAAAAAAGTCAGCCCTTGTCGTCAGCACAGGGCTGAAGTTCAGACATATGCCATAATTTATAGTTATGTAACAGTAGGATTAAAAAGCCCGAATTAAAAATTTTTTTTATCTGGGACACAAACAACTGTTTTACCCAGCCACATCAACAACAACAATTTGATTTACTATAATTACCTAAAGGAAAAACAGGAATAAAAATTCTATTTAACATTCACTTTAAATATATATTCTCCAATCTGATTTACTGTAATTACCTAAAAGGCACATCATACATACTTGTTCAGTCACATATGTCATGGATATTTAGAAAAGGAAATAATTACCTTCAATGCAAGGTTGTCTACTAAGGCGATCATAGAATTCTTAAACAAGGTGGCGGCCGTCAGGGGTCGCTTGGTCACCTCTGTAATGCTCAGTTTGCCTTCGGGCCACATATTCTTCAGCACAGGATTTGAACTGAGAAGCACAGAAACAGCAATTCAAATAGGCTCAAAAAGAATTGCCAAGCAATCCTGCTGAACCCGACTGCAGACTGAACTCACAAGGCCCAACTGGGAGAACAATTCCGTCCTGAAAATTATGCTGAAAGATGTGTCCAAACTATACCACATTTTAAAAAACCCTCTTTAAACTTCTTTAAAGTGACATCTATATTATGATGACCTAGGACCCTCAAGTAGTGAACGTGGGTCTTACGATATATACATAAAACAAAATGATTTTAGTGGTAGTTATAAGAATGAGGGCAATGATTCCCAGTGAGAGAATGATTCTCAACATTATGGTAGAAAACATGAACGGGAAATTATCTTCTGATGGAAACAAAGACTCATACAGAATAGGTAATGCAATGAAAAGCCAGGCCTTTCCAAAAATACAGCTAGGACTATAAAATAATCATTTTCACGCTGTCTTCTAGCAAGTCCCTTGCCTGCAGCTAAATTTATGAGCACACTTACAGGTAGCACTGGCGGTTCTAATGTTATGGATGTGACGTTAAGACAGCTGCAGCCCAATTCCTGACATGCACTTCAGGCCAGTTTTCACGCTAACAGTGACAGATTCATTATTTGGCTCTGTGGGGATATTTTTAACAACCCGTGTGGTGGTCTCGGCTCTGATTTTCTTCCTGCTTCATTCTGGGTGCTTTTGATTTTAAAGAAATTGAAACCTGAGACGTTGCTGGCTTCCTGGAAACTTTTTTCTCTTGTCAGGTTTGTTTTTTTTTTAATTGGGGGTTGAGAAGAGAAAAGAATTAACATGGACATGTTTTTTTTGCTAATTGTGTTTACTACTGCCATCATATTGCCCACTTTTCCTCTCCTGGTATAAAACTGAGAAAATTGAGTTGGTTTCCCAAATACCTAGTAAATTTCTATATAGAGAGGCTCCAAATAATTGCTGTAAAAATGCCAGAGTCAATTGACAAAAAAGCAAAGAAGATAAATGGGGAGGTGGAGGTTTACTGGGTCTCTGAAGGAAGGCAGAGCCACACTCCTAACCCTCACCGTTGCTAGCTAGCAGTGCCAACCACCATCGAAAGTGGCTTAGGGACCCAGTTATCTTACTTTCTAGTTTCAGTCCATAACTTTCTAACGATAAGAATTTAAGGTAGTGGTTCTCAACATTTAGCGCCCATGGCGCCGGGATGCCTTCCTAACACCTGCTGAATACAGTTTCCTGTAAGCAGGGCACGTGCACTTTGAAAATTCTGATGCAAGATCACTGGCTTTTGGTCTACGCAGTTTCCACCCCAAACACTACCACTCTCACTGTTGGCCATTTTTAGAGCCTATTCCTGTACTGCTTTGTAAACTGTGTGTGCGTGTGTGTTGAAAATCAAGGAAATGAGACATTTATTATTATTATACTATTAAACAGCAGAATTGATACGTGATGAATCCAAATAGACACATACAATCATTTTAAAGAGAAAGAACTTTTAAGCCAGTAAGTCATGAATGTAATATTAACAAAACAGTTTCCAAACATTTAAAGGAATCCTTTTCTGGGACCCTTGTGCACTGCTGGTGGGAATAAAAATTGGTGCAGTCACCATGGAAAACATTATGGAGGGTTCTCAAAAAGTTATAAATGAAACTGNACATTTATTATTATTATACTATTAAACAGCAGGATTGATACGTAATGAATCCAAATAGACACATACAATCATTTTAAAGAGAAAGAACTTTTAAGGCAGTAAGTCATGAATGTAATATTAACAAAACAGTTTCCAAACATTTAAAGGAATCCTTTTCTGGGACCCTTGTGCACTGCTGGTGGGAATAAAAATTGGTGCAGTCACCATGGAAAACATTATGGAGGGTCCTCAAAAAGTTATAAATGAAACTTTTATGATCCAGTGATTCCATTTCTGGGTATATATCTGAAGAAACCCAAAACACTAGTTCAGAAGAATATGTGCACCCCTATGTTCACTGCAGTGTTATTTACAACAGCCAAGATATGGAAGCAGCCCAAGTGTCCATAAATAGACGAATGGATAAAAAAGCCGCGGTACATCTATACACTGGAATACTACTTGGCCATAAAAAAGCATGAAACCTTATCATTTGCTACAGCATGGATGGACCCGGAGGGTATTATGCTCAGTGAAATAAGTCAGACAGAGAAAGACAAATACCATATGATTTCACTTATATGTGGAATCTAAAGAACAAAATAAATGAACAAGCGAAACAGATACAGACTCATAGACACAGAGACCTGATGGTTGCCAGAGGGGAGGGGCAATGGTGGGCTGGGTGAAAAAGGTGCATACATATTGTGCAATATATGTCAAAGCGTTTAGTACAAAGATAGTAAAATTTAATCCTACCTGTTATACATGAGGCGCTTGAAATCTTGAAATAAAGTGTCTTTATTTTTGTCAATAAAACCGATGACCGAATAGCTAATAGAGGAAAAAACAAAGAAAACGTGCATTACCCACCAAGCAAGAGCCACATTTAAGCTTTTGTAGAAACCTACACGGGCCCTTCCACTGTGAATTATGCAGTCAGTCTACAGGCTGGTTCTGTCNCTTCCACTGTGAATTATGCAGTCAATCTACAGGCTGGTTCTGTCCTCCACGGTCACTGTTGAGGGATATCAAATTTATCTCCTACATAAAGGGGCCATTGTTTCTACTCCTTAAAAGGAGAGCAAACATCATCACCGTTATGACAATTAAGATCATTTTCTCCTGGTTTACCGCTTACCTCGAGAAGGTGACTCGGAAAATACAGACAGCTGTATTTATCACCCAGATTCCTAAGGTAAAAGCAAACCAGCCACACACGGGAACTAAGCCTCGTCGGCTGGGAGGCCAGGGGACTTGCCTAAGGTTCGCTCAGTGGGCTCGGGGTGGGGTGAAAGAATCCAAGGAGAACCGCGAAGGATGGCAAGAGCTGGGTAAGCAGAGGAGAGAGGAAAGGCCGATGGCACCGGGGGACAGGCTAAGGGAGGGGGCGGAAGCAGGCCCGGGCGCGGCGTTCTGGGGACACGAGGCGGCGCATTCGCCGCTTGGAGCAGGGGAAGGGAGCAGGGTCCGGCCGTCCCGCAGCTGGTGAGAAAGGGGCATGGGGGCTGTCCTGCTGCGGCGGCTGGCATGGGCTCTGGGTGGAGCAAACTCAGGGCTGGGTATAACAGTCAGGGAGGACTCAGGGAGATTAGGACGGAGGCTGGGAGACGAGCAGACAGGAACCAGATGCTGCTGCTCCTTACAGCTGTTTCCTAACCCGTCTATGTGTTTCCTTGGCAATCGCATCAATGTGCACAATTCTCAGATCTCTAACGCGGAGCCCTTGCCAATGTTCCAGCCTTATGTATTTAATTCTGCCAGAGAGTCCCCTCAGGCTACGTGCCCATGGGCCCTTCAAGATCACCGGGTCCGAAATTATTCCCTTGCCTCGCCCACCCTAGGTTTTCTTCCTAATACCTTCAAGTCATTTTAGACTGAATCTCTGAAGTCACCTGACTCGATCTATTGTTTAACTCATAAAACTCAAACTTCAAAATCCTTATTTTTGGCCTTCAAGGCTCATGATGCCTTGATCTGAACCTATTTCTCCAGGCATTTCTACTTGTCTCTGCTCCAAAAGGGTGCGCTCCAGTCAAATGGGCCTGGCTGCTATTTTCTGAATATTTTTAGCACTCTTCCCACTTGTTCCTGCAAAAATAATTCCTAGCATCCAAGGACTGCATCCAAGGACCTGAGGCAGCACCAGCCTTCCTGGGTTTACCACGCACAGCTAGAGGTATGATATCATTCCCTTATTCTGCATTCTGACAACTCACATGGCAATTATTTTAGGCCATCTTTTATTGTACCAATCTATGTATGTAAATGTGTGTATATATACGTGTGTAATTATTTATACAGGTAATATATAAATTTATGTCTATAAATACATACGCACAAGCATATGTGTATGTATGCATCTTACACGGAAAGCTGTGGGCAGGGACCATACTTTATAAAGTATTGTGCACACAAAAGATACCCAGTAAAAACCTAGAATAAAGGATTGGAGGGCTTGAGGAGAGAAGGGGATCTCGGAGGCACAAATACACTCAAAGAGGTCGGCTAGAGCTCTGGGGGTTGGGAAACCGAGTTACTGTCTCAGCTCTTCCACAAACATGCTCTGTGACCTTGGGTATGAGTTTTACACACTCTGCATTAGTTTCTTCATCTGTAAAACAATGGGGCTGACCTCGGTGGTCTCTAAGGCCTCTGACCAGCTAGGCTTTTATGCCCTTTCGAGCTAGAGGCCTGGGTTTTCAGTGCGAGATATCTGTGCGGTGCTGGGTCCTCCCTCTTCAGTATCCTGGAACCTGGGAACAGGACCAGAAAAAGTGGAAACTGGTGCCCTAGCAGCACTAATGGCTAGTTTGACAGATGGCGTGATCATTTTTGAGCCATATTATTTCATGATTCCAGAGTTTTAATTTAAATCAGGAACGGCTATTAAAATTTCTTCAGATGTCTTTTCAGCATTTAGAGATCATCATTTGCTTTTCTGTTGTTGTTTCATCTCTTCCTATAATGGGTTTTATGAATATGAACAGAATTCCTAATGTAAACCATAAGGAGAAAGAACAAAAGGGCATTTTAAATAATAAGACAAGGAGCAGTGTTCAGTGGCCAAAGCCTACTGCGTACAGTGGGCTGAAAAATGCCCTCCTGGAAAACATCCACGTCAAATTCCCTAGAACCTGCGAATGCTGACCTTATACCGTAAAAGGTGTGATTTGCTGGAGGATCAGGAGAGGAAAAGCTTACACTGTATTCCCCAGGTGGGCCCTAAATGCCATCTCAAGTGTAGTTTAGGGATAGAGGCAGAGGAGATTCAACACAGACACACCCAAGAGGAGGAGGCACTGTGAACACAGAGGCAGAGGCTGGAGTGATGGGGCTGTAAGCCAAGGAGTGCCTGAGGCCACCAGAAGCTGGAAAAGGATCTTCCCTAGAGCCTCCAGACACCTAGATTTCAAGCTTCTGGTCTCCCGAACTGTGAAAGAATAAATCTCTCCTGTTTTAAGCCATTAATTTAAGGTAATTTGTTACACCAGCCCTAGGAAACGAAAACAGTAAGGTAGTTCTATTTTTTAGTTATATTTTCTTATCAGTGTCAACTTTCATTGTAATTAGAAAAATGTGGCTCGTGCAAATTTCACTTTTCAAATAATATCTGAAAAATAATACGGCAAAACTGGTTTTTGCTCACCGACTCACCCAACTGCTGCGGTTCTTACACACAGTGGCGACTCTCACCTCAGGGCCCGTACATCTGCTGCCTGGAACGCCCTCTCTTCTCCCTCCCCTCATCTCAGTTCTTTGCCCCGACTTAGCCTCTTTTACTTTTAGGACTTTTAGCTTCTCCAGGGAAAGGCCTATCTCATCTCCTGCTCTATCCCAGTTCTTAACATGCTCCATGATTGATTTATCCATCGCTTCATTTTGACCGACCGCCAGCTCTGCCAGGAACTATGCATGGCCACATAGTGTGGGCTCAATAAATGTTTGAAAAGCAAGGCATGAATGACGTTATGCCGACTTTTTTCTTCTTTTCCGGGTGAAAAGATTAAAAGAGGTATACAAAATGACTGAAAATGAGGCGAATGAATAGGAAAACGGATATTCTCCCCCTGGTTATATTTTCTGAAGTGAGGCTGCCTGCAAAGCATCACGTCAGGGAACAAAGTAAAGATACTCACACTACATCACCTGCGTAATGTCGAATTCGAAAATCCCGATCAAACTCCAGCATCTTGTCTGAGGCACAGAGCTAAGGAATCAAGGAGGAGATTATTTTGAAAATAGCCATTGACACTTTCCTAAAAATGTATTCCAATTTCACAGAAGATGGTAATACTGTTACAAATTGTGATAGCACTGTGGATGAAATCACACTGTGTAGGGCTCCATTTAAGTGTCTTGCTTGTGTGGCAGACAGAGCTTTCCCCAGAAGCCCACACAGCACCCCCTGCTGTTGAATATGGCAAATGACCAAGTTCTGGACAATGGAAGGTGAGCGGAACTGAGGCGAGGCTGTTCCAGGCCAAAGCTGATTAGAAGAGGGCGATTCTCCTCTGTACTTTCTTTTCCCCTCCCATTTGCCTGCATGCAGAGAAGGACAGTGCCTAGGGGATGGAAGAGCCAGAAGATGAAGGGAGTCTTGATCCCTGAGAGAGAGACAGGCTTCTATTGTCTATGACACTTAAGTCTTGGCTGCTATCTTAATGCGGCCCAGCCTACCCTGACTGACACTTTCTTTCTTCATGTTCCACTTACGGAGGGCATCTGAGGGCTTGCTGTCTGCCAGGCACATACATCTTATATCTCATATCCTCACAACTGATATTTGAAGTGTTATGAGCTCTCTCTTTTTTTTTTTCCCCCCACACATGGAATCTAAGGCTCAAAAAGGGTTAGGCAATTGGCAGAAGGCGGCTTGCCTAGGAAGTGGCAGCTCTGGGAAGGATTCCTGGGACCGAATGTAATATCTGTGCTTCCTACGCACACAGTAAGTAGCCCGGCTCACCTGTCTTTTGCTAAGCTGGGGCTCCAGGTCAGGCCTGTCATTTCACAGAGATCCACATGAAGAGGAATGCTTTCCAGAAAGGCAGTTTTTATATAGCCCCGGTGGTCTCCATAACTTTCTGCAATTTTCCTTGTTATAGTAGCATCTAGACTTCTTGGATCACTTCATATCCCTTAAGTTCTAAGGCAGATGCCTCAAGAAGGCATGAACCACTGAGTGCAGCTATGCACAAAAAACACTCAGGTTGTAGTGTTCGGTAACAAACATCCCTAAACCAGGAAGGTGGGATCCATGCCGATAACTAGATTGTTAAAGGAATAATTAGTCTATTAGCCCAATAAGTGAATAGAGTCAGACAAGAAATTAGACTTCTGATGCTCAAACCTTGGCTCTACCATCTACTTGCTCTGTCTCCTCTAATAATCACATCTGAGAGAGTCGTTTGGAAGGTTAAACAAACTATGGAAACCAAATAACAGAGGGTTCTACAAAATATGTGACTTTTCTTTCCTTCTCTTAGTAACCACTTTTTAAAAATACTCACCTGATGATATGTTTTTATTGATTTTTTGGTTAGAGAGAGAGGAGGGGAGAGGGGAAGAGACAGAGAGAAACATCAGTCAGTTGCCTCCTGTGTGCGCCCTGATTGGGGACAGAATCTACAAGCTTTACGGGGTGTGGGACGGCGCTCCAACCAACTGAGCCACCCGGCCGGGGCCGTTATTAACCACTTTTGTAAGACCCTTTCATTTATAAAATCCCCAAAGGAAAAAGACCTGAGAGATATCTATACTAATTAACTATCCTTACATTTGGATACATTTGGATTCACAGTGATGAAAATATCCTGACAGCTTGGTTATTTCATTTCTTTCCTTCATTAGGCAAAAATCCCAGAAAAGAACACAATTTAAAATTCCCCATATTTGGGCCTGTCTGGGGGATGATGCTGGAGGAAGGAGCCACCTGGTTTGAGAGATGGCAAAACCTGGGGTCCCACATTTAAAAAAGGAAGGAAGGAAGGCTTATCTCTATGAATTACTGTTCAACATTTCCTATCAAATCAGTAGCAACTGCTTAAATGTACTACGTACAGTTGCTATCTTCAGAATGAGATTACATTTCAAAATACTTGGTTGACAAATTTAATTCAGGTGCATAAATGGCCAAGGTGAAACATATCAATATGAGGTAATTTCCCATGTGAGAGTCACGGTTATTTATTTAAATGAAATAGAGCCTTGCATGTTTTAATTTAAAATGCAATGTTCTGTAAGATTTATTTGGTGTGATTGTAACCCATTCAATTCAAATTTGACAAACACTGATTGTCTGTCATCCGATAGGCACAATTCTCTGGTAGGCACAATTTTCTGCCAGTCTCCAAAACCTGAACTGTGATTATAAAAGACATTATTCATCTCGCCATCAAAAACAGGACATTGGCCCATGTAATCATGCCATCTCTAAAAACATCATTCTAACATCTGTAATACTTTCAAAATAAAGATACAATTTAAAAAACCCAGTAAATAATAAATAAATAAAGGAAGGAAGAACAAAATAAAAATAAAATAAAAACATCATTCTAAATTATTTAGGTTGCCTCTAACTTTGCTCACTGCTCTGTCCCCAGCACCTAGCATTGTACCTGAAAAATGAGAGGTACTCGGTAAGTATTTGCATTATCAATGGGAAATAATTCAGTTTCTAGTATGGCTATTTTTATTGAACCTACTGAATAATAATTTTATTCCTATTCTGGTTCTTTCTCAACTATCCCCCACCCACAGGACTGTACCCAAAAAACGAGAGGCACTTAGTAAGTATTTGCGTTATAAACGTGCAATAACTAAAGGGATGCCTCTAACCTGAGCCCCAATGTCCAAGATCAGACTGGAGTGTGTGAAAGCCGACTGTCAGAGCGCTAAAGTCAATCCTCAGTAACAGCCAAGGAGGATATTTTAGAAATAAACTGTCCTAAAAGAAATACCATCCAGGAACCTGTATCTTGATGGTTTGTGCTTTATCTGGTTAACTGTGGAATCTTCCTATTCTGATTATATAATTTCAAAGGGGACAAAGTTAGAGAAAAGAGTTTTTTGTGCTGAAAATGGCAGTGCATCATAGAGTTACATGGAATTAAGGGGGAGCAGAAACGGGTGCCCCTTTTTTGTGGAAGTGAAGACGCATGGGGACTGCTTTTCCTTCAGCGTACGGTTGCTAGACAAGCTTATATTTGTAGGAAACGCTTGGGGGGTGATGGTGGACCCCTCCTAGGACAAATATTAATGGCATACTACACGTGAGGCCCAGCATAAGCTCTGATAACCGCACCTACCGCCAATTATTCAGAAATATGATCTGTGGGTAACATTTTTAGAAGGTGAGACATGGGGAGTTAAAAGGATACTCGGGCGCTTAAGGAACAAGTTTCCTTGTAACAACTAGAATTACAGCTAGAATGTCTCTGTTTTTAAGAAAGTCACGTGGTCTGGCAAAGCACACATACTACATTTGATAACTGAGGCTTACAGTAAAAAGTCAAGGACAAAAGCATTTTCAGTGCCAGAATTATCAGAGGCAGGAGCAAAATTCTAGCACATGAACAGGGACTCTATACCTATTGGTTTTCAATGACATCATCATTTTACGGTTTCTAGTAAATGGAGCGGTCTGTGGCGCCCTCTCCTGGACGGTATGAATTTTATCCATCTTGTCACCCTATGAGCCAGAGAAGGCAGAATTTATCCACAGCAATAAATCATTTAATGAATGTTTATGGCCTTAGTTGAGTGGACACTGTTGTAACCCAACATATTAAGTCATTTAAGACTCTCAAACAACGAGGAAAACTTTACTGATAAAAACGAGAGGAAGTTCTCAGTACACACATTACCTTTCGGCTGGAAAAGTGCCCGTGTTTGCCCAATTTACTGTTCAGCGCTTCGAGGAACATTTCGTCGGTGACTTTGCCGACGTTCATGCAGGCGTCGTCGAGGATTGCAATGATCCCCTTGTGCTGCTGCTCCACGAGGTCCACAATGATCTGATTGTTGAAGTAGTCGATCTGCAGGACACAGCAAAGGAGCCATCCCAACGGGAACGGAAACCAGGACACGTGGAACACCAGTGCCTCCGCGTGCGCTGGGAGTTTACGTCCAGCTCCCTTGCTGGGAAACATGTGAGCGACACCGCTGAGGTCTCACTCTAAAATTCTGTCAGGGGCTTACTGGTTCGTTCGTTTGTTGACTTGGTAACCTGAAACACTTTGTCTTAGATGAGTGTAGCTCAAGGCAAAAATTATGAAGTAGATAGTGTTTCTCCCATCGCTAACGCTTGTTTTACTCGTCTCCATGGCCTGCACCTGACTGTACTCCTGCATACTCTCAGTCGCCCAACCCGTTTGCCATTAACCACAAGGCCTAGGTTCCACTCTGCGCCAGCAAATGACCTTAAAATATTATTTGGTACATAATTTGATGAAGTGAAGGTATTATGCAGAACTGGCTTTTTTAAAATTTNAAATATTATTTGGTACATAATTTGATGAAGTGAAGGTATTATGCAGAACTGGCTTTTTAAAAATTTTATGTATTNAGGCAAAAATTATGAAGTAGATAGTGTTTCTCCCATCGCTAACGCTTGTTTTACTCGTCTCCATGGCCTGCACCTGACTGTGCTCCTGCACACTCTCAGTCGCCCAACCCGTTTGCCATTAACCACAAGGCCTAGGTTCCACTCTGCGCCAGCAAATGACCTTAAAATATTATTTGGTACATAATTTGATGAAGTGAAGGTATTATGCAGAACTGGCTTTTTTAAAATTTTATGTATTTTTATTGATTTCAGAGAGAGAAAAGGAGAGGGAGAGAGAGAGCTAGAAACATCAATGATGAGAGAGTCATTGATCGGCTGCAGCCCGCAACCCGGGCATGTGCCCTGACCGGGAATCGAACCCCGATCGCCTGGATCCTAGGCCGACGCTCAACCGCTGAGCCACGCCCGGCCGGGCAGAACTGGCATTTTCAGTTACATGGACCTGGATTAAAATCCAAAAGAGCATCTCTTCCGGTTTCCCAAAGTTAACAAGCATACATGGGTTTAGCGGAGTGTTGATGTTTCTCAGGGCATAGCATAAAACATTCAATCCTGACAAATATTACAGCTCACAAAGAGCCACGAAAGGAGAGATGACGAAAAAACGTGATGCACAGGCAAGAAGTGGAAATAAAATGCACGTTAAGCGCCTTCTGGCGAGGGTGTCAGAGAACAGGAATCACATCAACTGAAGACTCGATGTCAGTTAGTTTACAAACCAGAGGCAGCGGCAAAAAGAAGCGAGAGAGAGATAAAAAAGAGGAAGGAGAAGAAACTGAATCTGGAGCCAAGTTCAGCCAGTTCTAAAGGCAAAAGTTGCTGCTCTGAATACCCTATAGAGGATGCCAAACTCTTACCCAACAGACATGCCCCAGAAAGCCCGCGGGGCATCGGCCACAGGGCGGAGATGCTAAGCCCACCGGGATAACTCAGCATCCTCTGGGCACCCACGGGGGGGCTTTTTAAATGAGAGAAATCCCACCTACCAACCCTGACAATGAACTGTATTTACACACACACCCCCCTCAAAAAAGAAAAGCTAAAATTTTGGTGTTTCACGTACCCAAGACGATTTTTAAAAAATACCTAAAAATATCGATAAGATCTGACCCGGTCAGTGACGTGAGAGGCACGAGGACGCCCCGGGGCCACTCACGTGCTTCCAGGGGATGCCTTCCCGCTGGTACTCCTCCTGCTCCTGTTTCAGCACCAGCTGGATGAACAGCTGCTGCAGCTTCTCGTTGCAATAGTTGATGCAGAACTGCTCAAAGCTGCAAGGAAAGGAGCACGCCATGTTCGAGCCAATAAGGAGTAAACAACAGAGGTCTGTGTTTCTTTTTGGTTAATCCTCACATGAGGAAGTTTTTTCCATTGATTTTTCTTAGAGAGAGTGGAAGGGAGGGAGGGAGAGACACAGACACACACACACTCGACTGGTTGCCTCCCACACTCACGGTCCAACCTGCAACCCAGGTATATGCCCTTGACCGGGAATTGAACCCGTGACCCTTCAGTGCGGGGGTGGGGCTGGCGCTCTAACCGCTGAGCCACATGGGCCAGGGCAATAGGAGAGTTTTATTTATTTACTTATTTTTTAAAATATATCTTTATTGATTTCAGAGAGAGGAAAGGAGAGGGAGAGAGAGCTAGAAACATCAATGATGAGAGAGTCATTGATTGAGCCCACAACCCGGGCATGTGCCCTGACCGGGAATCGAACCCTGATCGCCTGGATCCTAGGTCGACGCTCAACCGCTGAGCCACGCCCGGCCGGGCAATAGGAGAGTTTTAAAGTAGCTAATCCGCTGTACCTGTTGTTGTCAAAGATCTCAAAGCCATAGATATCCAAGACTCCAATCACAGTGTTTTTCCCGTGGACCGTGGTGTCGTAGTTCTTGACCTCGATAATGTCATTGATGCGGGTCACGATCCAACAGAAAAGGCGCTCGTATATTGCCTGTGAGGGAAACAACATGGTAACATTCCTGCCCGTTGGGGATCGAGTCTCTTCAGGCTCGGGGCACGTTCTGAATTCCTATCCTGCCCGCCTGACCCTTACGCAGAGCTGTGGTGGCCCGAAGCAGAGTGAGAAACGCAGGTGGCCTGATGGAAAGCACACAACGCGATGGATGCGAAACTCAACAGTTTGGCTTTTTAAGATTATCTCCAGCTGCCACACATGCTGTATGTATCCCAGCAACACCCCCCAGGTATGTCTGTGGGCCCAGCTATTTCAATAATTTCCCTGCTCCCCCAGGCAAGTCACTTCCCTGCTGTTTTCATCTCAACTGTATAAAGCGGGAAAGCGACGCGTTAGTAACTACGTTCCACGAGAGCTCCATCCCTCTGAAAGATAGAAATACTGATTTATAGTGCGAAATAAAGATCTGGGCCAAAGGCCCCCGTGTGAACTCCCTTGAGAATCAAATGTGCATCCAGCAAACACGTGAGGATGCAGGGGCCACGCTGCGTGCAAAGGTCCGAGCGTGCTCCGCAACGCCCGCCTTTAGGAAGCCTTTCCTCTCCTCGCCGCCCCCCTC